GTGTATTTTTAAATAGGTCAATAAATCATTAGCGTGCAAAAGCATAGATATGCATAGAACGCACAGCGGCACACACAAATGCCAATCTAATGAGCACGCATGTATGTATGTATGTGTGTATGTATGTGTGTGTGTGTGTGTGTGTGTGTGTTGTGCATATGGTGTATGATGGTATGTATTGTATGTAGACAGCATGGCGACAGCTGCGACCGTATATTGATAACATAACATTAGCAGCTGTTGCAAGCCGAGCGACAAATGCAAAAAATAATAATAATAACATAAATGCCCAAATGTTTTCTAGCAGAAGATGTGCAACAATCGTCATAGATGAAGTCCGATTAGTCCGATTTAATCAAAGTCGGAGCATCAATTGCATATTCTTAGAATTAATAAGTTTATATCTAATGAAATAAAAATTAACTGAATTTGAATAGGATGTCAGCTGAATCGATATAGCAGTGATAACAAAAGATAACAGAGCTGCAGAGCTGCTGTTACTGTTACTCGCACTGTTAGTGTTAAATGTTAGTTGGACTCACCTTTCCGTTGTGGGCTCGGCACAAATGAGCGCCTGTTTCAGCTCAATGGCCTGGCCATTCTTCTCCTTCAGCTCCCCGTTCTCACTGTAGTACTGAACCAGTTCCGGCAACGTTGCGAACTTCTCACCTGCAAGCGATTTTAAAGTGCCACTGTTATCATAACATAATGGGCAATGTTACGAGATTGTTCTGCTTACCGCCATAAAGATCGAAGAAATCGCCATTGTTTTGGATTTTAATGTGGGTGACCTCGTTGCCGCGGCGCACAGAAAGGGTGAATGCACCGGGATTTGAGGATGAGAGGCGCGCCAAATATGAACCGTCGTAGCCTTGTTCCTGTAGCAATTTTTCAGCTTCGATGCCCGATATCGTTGGGTGGAACCATCTGCAAATAAACAGATATACATATACATAATATACACACACATATATATATATATATATATACACATATGTACAAGTGCGAGTGTATGTGTGCGTAGAGGGTGTAGCGTGTGCGAGTGTGTGTCTGTATGTGTGTGCAGATATAGTATTGCTAAAGTTGGGTTCGCCGCGTGTCGTGTTTTTTGTGCGCACAAAATAAAAATAAAAAAAAATGAGAAAACTAATAAAATCACTCTGAGCAATGATTATAGTAGTTAAGAAGTTATCAAGACAAATGTGTCCAACATTTCCAAGCGAATTTCATACAAATATCGTGACACGAATATTAGCAACATTCAACTTCAATTCGCAATGTCGTTTTTTCTTCTACTTTTTTTAAACCTTACAAAAAAGTCCACAACAAAAAGATGTAAAAATGTACGATTAAATATTTTTGTATTTTTTTTTTGCAGTGATCACTGAAATTTTTGGCTGCGCGATGATCGTCGTGCTGAGGGATGGATAATCGCTGGCGCCTTGAGCGCATCTCTAATACAATACACACATGCACACATACATACATACGTACGTACGTATGTACGCAAATGTACATGTAAATGTATGTAGATAATATGTATGTAAGGTAAACCCGCACGAAACGCACACAGCAGCAAACAACGCCTCTGACAGCCCCCCTTCCCCCACCCAAAAACCAAGCTTTTTGTTGTCCGCCATCCCCCTCGTCCTCGGCCATGCCGTGACAGAATCTACATCAGCAGCAGCATTAACAGCTGTAGTTCGTAGCACAAGCAATAATACATTGAATGGGTTATGGTGGGGAGGGGTAGGGTGTGGGGGGAGCTGCTGTTGCTGTTGCTGCTGCTGCTGTGGGACCGGGGGCAATTTACTTTTGAACACTTTGTTGCACTTTTTATCTCAATGTTGTTTCATTTTTCGTTTCGTTTTTAAAATTTTTTTTTTGACTTTTGTATATACTTATACATATGTAAATAGGCCCAGAGTTGTATCTATGTGTGCGAGTGTGCATAGGTATGTGTTGCGTGTGTGTGTGCTGGTACATATGTGTGTTGGCAGTGTGCGTGCGTGTGTGTGTGTATGTGTGTGTGTGTACATTGTCGTTTTTCCTATTGAATTTACCTTCGCGATGACATGTTCTTATTAAACGCGCACTTAAAAAATAAATAAATGTAACACTGAACGAAAAAAAAAAAATTAATTATATATGTGTATGCTT